TTTTGACGACACAGTGTCTACAAAAACTAAATAAATGATAGTTAAAACCTAAAGCATCGAAAATTGCCTGAAAAACATATCACAAACTAAGGAAAATGATCTTACCATAGAAAAGTTTGTTCATTTATACAAAATGGAGGAATTCCCAAAAGTACCTCTGGCCATCTGACAGGTTTTCTGTGTTGTGTTGTAAGATGAAAGTGGTTAATGACTGCAGAACGGGGTTTGGTATTGAATAATACAACTAGTTACTTATTAGGGACAATAGAATAAAAAAACGTGTGAAGACAAAACTAATTTTTTTGGATTAAATCACTCAATGACTTATGTTGATACCTACTTGAAAGAGTTTATGTTTTGGTACACGGAAGTTTTATTTTCTTTAAAATTAATAACTTTGCTACAATAATTATAGGAGTAAGTTATTAACATTAAAATTATTCGTAACAGTTTAAAACTCCACTACTAAACTTAATTTTGCACTATGCGAACAATTGTCAAGAAAATATATGGCAATAAACACCCAAACTCTCTACAACTTATATTTGGGTTAAAAAGTTAGCTTATGTTTCTAGTTTAGGTTTTCACCTATGAATTGCAAAGTTTTTAAGTGAGACATACATTTTATTAAGTAACTTGGAAAGTGCTTCGAAACTTTATTTAACAGTACAAATTTTGTTTTGTTTTGTACATTAATAATCGTATTGTATATTTTAAAATAAACATTCATTGAGTAGGTGAGCTTTAGTTTGTCATGGACTGTTACCAACATGGGCTACATTGTAAAAGGTGACCTTGTCTCCTTGCTTTTATTATATGTACTACACAAACGGCACAAAGTGTGCTGTATTCATGGGGAAAGTATTAAAAGGGAAATCATAAATACAGTAAATAAAAGGCAATAAATTACGTCTGAACTCAGGTCAAACACCCGGAAGGCTCCCGTTTATTTTTGTATAAATATCGCTCATAAAACCTTCCAAAATGAGGGATTATGGGAGAGAGTTAAACGTATAAAATATTTAAAATTTATAATAAACAATAATGATATTTTTTTGGATAGAGCAACAACAATAACCGCAACCAAAACGACATTCAAATTAATTTTCTGAAAGAAAGGGATATCCTACAAACCCTTAAAACCACACAATATCTCCTTACTGCGGCCACAACCCAAATATAATATAAATAAATAAATATATAAATACCATTTGATAAATAATACCTACATCATACTAGAGAATTCTAAGCTCTCGTTTTGTTGCTCCCCGTTTTAATTTTTAATTTGTTTCTTTGTTTGTTTGCTTATTTGTTTGTTTGTTGGGTGAAAGTAGATTGAGTCTTAGTCTCTATTTTTGTATTTCAAATTTAACTTTATTCCTCAAGCATTCCATCTGCAATAGGCCATCATCCAAATAAAGTTTTTATAATTATTTACTGTTGAATTTAAGTTTACTGTTACACAAATTTTCATGTAATATTTATTAGAGTTCAGGCTCAATCAACTGGCTCAAAATCGCTTCAACTGAGGGTTCGCAATTGTCTATTATGCCTCATTTGTCGGCAAACTTTAATAAATTGATAATTACCATAAAATACTAGGTAATCAAAATGGCACAAATAACAAAAACAATGTCTGCGTCGTGCAGTCAGATGGAATTAGACCGGCCGGCATCTAATAAAATTTACAGGATAGTTATTTAAAATGGGCTTGTTGTATCAGGACTCCACGAAAAGTGGATAAATTAAATGTCGCTATCGTACAATTACCGCCGTTACTCACTTCAAATGTAATACCAAATAGTTTAATTAAATGTGAATCTGCGAGGACAATTTAATAAATCCCGTATTCAAGAAAATTGATGTTAATTATACTTAATTTACACAGTGTTTGTGTGAAATCCCTTTTTTGAAGAATTTATTAAAATAACTAAATAATCTCAAGTACAATCCTGACATTTAGCTAGATAAAATCGAATACGGCCCTGTCCTTTTAGTTAGATAAAATCCGTACAACCCTGCTCTTTTAATTAGATAAAATCCAACCCAACCCTGCTCTTTTAATTAGAAAAAATCTGTACAAATTGTTTATAACTTAGAATCTAAATAATAATACGAAATACCTAATTCAAACATAAATTTATTTCATGTCGATTACGGTAGTGGTTTATTAAAACGGCAGCCATCATGGCGGAATAGATCGAACTATGACGCCAAGTCAAATGATCGAATATTTAACTTTACACAAGGTATTTGTGTAAACCAATTATACCAAAATGTTCGAGAATATATATACTACAATAATTTAGTTATTTAAAATGTACTGTATAGTTTTCTCCTTACCCCTAGGTTCGTTAAAACAATTTTTATGAAAAATTGATCAATTAAATATTTTGTGGCTTTGGCTCGTGATCGTCTTACCCAAATTTGGACCTCTACGCTGTGTTTACTTACTTGTTTTATTAGATGCATTGCTTTAAGAATGATACGTGGGAGAATTAGGTTTATAAGAAATAAAATACAGTAGTTTTGTTTACCCCAATTTAATTTACGTTAACTTTTTACAAACAAGCAAGGGGTGGCTCTTAGGAGGGTTCGGCCAGGGAAAAAGAGCCTGAGAAAAAACCCTGGTCGGCTATGAAGTAGCAAAGGAATACGCGGTCAGGCATTGTACTTTAAAAATTACGCAAATTAATGTATTGGCAATATGGCTCGATACTGCATTTAAACAAATATTTAAAACTGAAGAATATTGGGATTAGTTAGCCGGGCTAGGCCCAGAATGTAACGGGGTCCACAATGGGAGGCAACCCGCCTATTTTAGTTGAAGGGTCGGGGAAAAGCGATGCGACCCTAGAGAACCTAGGGCAACCTGTTTCCCCTCACGGGAGAAAAATATTAGTTCATACAACAAAGGCCCACGCACACAAACAAAGAGTACTCAAAGTTGGACAATAACGGTCAGCACTCCTGGTTAAGCACCGAGTAATTTCGCAATACATCAATAAATTTGGACTGATCATAAAACAATGCTTAACCACGTTATAGACAAAGGTACAAAATGATGGGTTAAGCACAAACAAAATACAAGGTTACATTTGAGCGGTACAAGCATTGAGCATAGCAAATTATTAAAATTATAGTGATAATAATAAAAGCGAGAATAGGGGTGGTAATAGATAAAAGAAAAGGGTTAAAGATAACGTAAAATACAGCTAAACGTAATAGTAAAGGATAAATATACTCATAATAGCAATAATCATATAATAATAATATTAACAATTTGAAAATGCACAATATTACGTTTAGTTAATTTTACTACACATTTAAATAGATTAACTCTTAACTAGTCGCGCAGGTGCACTGAGTGCTCCGTTTTTATTAAAACCTCTATAACTTTTTGTCGTTTTCTTGGAATTAAATGCCCTTTCCATGTAACCTATGACTGATTTGTCTACCATGCACTGTCGACGGCATATTCAGTTTAAACTACTAATTTCAAAGTTATGGACAAAAAACTTGAGATTGATTTAGAAATACTTCACTAAAACGTAACTAAATTTCAATTTTTGCAATGTAAAATATTTCGAAATCAACAAAATATGGAATTTAAAACCTAATGGTTTTTAAGGTATACATTTTTCTAAGAATACACAAATAAAAATAGAACGGCTAAATTTCATTCTGATTTCTTCTTTTCTGAGTAGAAGTAATAACTTTTTTGTTTGTTTTATTTTTTGTTATTTGCTTTTTGTTTCTTTTTAAAATAAATATTGTGTTTTAATAAAAATAGAGTTAATTTATCCGAATATAAGCAAAAGTAATATTAAAATTGAAAACATTCAGCAATATAGCCATTTTAAGGAGCGGAGCACTTAGTGCACCGCGCGACCACTTATGTTACAAAAATTGGCGCGAGTAGTTAAGGGTTAAATATTTAACCTTGTAGAATACACTAACAACACTTTTAACAATGATTTTAGAACAATAATTTACTTTTACAATTTTACCAAAGAAAACGAACTGTACTGCACCAAATTCAAAACGCTTCTGCCTCATTTCTCCTTTCCAAAAACCTTCTTCGTTTACCTCTAGTGGAAATTCCTCGCCCAATGTGTATGCCAGATGTACTCTTCCTCCAGCTTAGCGCATACCTCTCTTGTTTGTTTGGCAAATTTTCTACCTAAATTTGAAATTTCGCTTGCCTTAAAAATAAAGTTTTATTACTTAATCCTATTTTAAAATTAGAAAAATAAAATATATAATAACACGTATTCTAATAAATTTATACAGGGTATTTCTTTTTCGGAACCATTACAATACAAACCTACAATTTTAAAAATTCATAAAATTCACACCTCTTGTTCGCAGCACAGGTTCTTCTCGAATGGTCTCCGCTCTTCCCTTCCCAACTACCGGTATTCTTTCCCCCTTCCTTTTCCTACCTAAACATGAGTGCCCAATCGTTCGGCACTCGGTACGTCAAATACATTTCCTTCGCGCTAAATTTAAATGTTAGTTTTATTTACATAATTTTTTGAATACATTTATTTTAAACAATTAGGATCGTAATAACCCACGGATTGTTTAATAGGGGGGTATTTGCAGATCTCCTCAATCTTCAAAAATACAGGGTTGTCAAAAAAGAATGGGCTTAATTTAAACAATTACCACTGGTAAAATTCTTCTTAAATATATTTAATAAATTTAATAAAAAATTTGTGTATAATAAAATGCTAAATTTTCTTTGTATATGTTTAATACATTAAATCAACTAGGCTATTTAAACTGCCATTTCTTTTAATGCAATTTCTTTTAAATCTACAGAAAAAAATATAAAAGAGGGATTAAAAAAGAATGCCCTTTTAAAAACCGCTTTAGCCAAACAAATGCGCAATTAAATTAAAATTATCAAGTTAAATATTTCCTTTTTTTTTGTTCCAGGTTAAAAATGAGCTGAATCAAGGACCCTCCTCGAGAACCCCAGGACCAAGGACAAAATGATTATTTCGTTTGCGTTAAGTTTTTCTTTCTTTTTAAATGTTATTTCCTATCAAATAAGTTTAGCCGAGGCTTTAAATAAAAATGGAACGATTATTACTAAAAACCATACGGAGAAATTTGTGAAGGATTATAAAATATCAGGAAAAGTAATGTATGAGAGGGACGAATCGAAAGATCAAAATTTATTTGGGATAAAGGAAAAACGAACAATTGCAAACATTTCGAATGAAACTAAAATAGGAAATGTCAGCTCGATTTTTCAGAAACTAAAATCAATATCAAGAGATTCAAATTCGAGTGCGCAAATTATTGCAAGCGAAATTCGCGGATCAAAAAACATAAAAGGCAACCCTGCTCCGTCCGAACATCGTCATAAAGCAGTCCAGAATTCGATAAAAACTAATGAGAGCGACAGTAATTCAAAGCTACAATTAACAAATGGCAGCGGATCACATAAAGGCAAATTCAACAAAAAGGAGAAAATTAGCGAAGCGCCGATTACTCTGCAAAACCTCGAAAAAAAATTACCAGAAACGAAAAGTCCATTCAGTAAAGATATTACAGTAGACCGTAATAATTCTTTTGATAAAATTACAAAATACATTAAAGAAAATGAAAAAACCGCCAACAACAATGGTAAGTTTTTTGATTCATAACTGTTTACCATTATAATTTGGGATATGTTATACTGGTCCAAAAGGAACATTTGGGAATCAATTACATTTTATTTTATCTAAACAACCTAAGAACACATTTTATTAATATTTGATGAGTATTGTTTTTTTTATTAGGTACTATAGGCATTAAATTAGTTTTTCTTACTACCTCGACTCAAAATACGTTGTTTCGTCCCCGATTTCACGGCAGAAAGTTTACGTTTCTTGCATTGGTCAAGCTATACGCGCCCACTCTAATAGCGGGAGTAAAAATTTTTTAGTCGTGTGCTTAACATTCAAATTTCGTACTGCCAACATGAGAAACACAAAAATATGACAGTTTTAAACCATAATTTTGCAATTATAACAACAAATAAACAATTTATGTTTTTACTTTTTTACTTTTTATGTTGTTTTAAGTGTTTAATGGTACTTTTATTTGTTATAAAGTAGTAATTTGTTAATTAAAATACAACCTTTTATTTTTACTGTATTGGCACCGCTGAATTACCATGACAACGCTACAGTTTGATTGATTTTGAATGTAAACGTCAGAATTAAATTAAACGTCAGATTTTAATTTTGACACAAGTTTTTTTATATACATTTAATTTTTTCCCGTATTTTCTGCGGGGTAGCAAGAAAAATAGTATACACTACACGGGCAGAAAGTGTGAGAGCCCTGAACTGCGCGCCATGATGCCCTCGGCTTCGCCTCGGGCATCATGGCGCACACTTTCTGCCCTTGTAGTGTAATATACTATTTACACTACAAGCAGCGGCGTCACTACGGGGGTGATAATACGAGAAAAAAATGCTACTTCAATGAAATAATGAAAATAATCAATTGATTTGCGAAAAAAAGTCCTAAATTTGTTTTGTAAAATGTATCGTTTGACAGTAAAATTGCATTTCCACTGTATCTACATTTTTCATAATCATATTTCCCATATGCCGCCTGGTTTGCACTTTTAAGAGAATAAAAGGCCAATAATCTAATCTAATTTTTTTTTAATTTCTAAATTTAACTATTGATTTATAAAAACGTTTTTCAGCTTCCCTACTACTTGTAGTATTAAAATTAATTTAATGCCTATGGTACCTAATAAGTTCCACACCTTATATTTCGATATAAGTTTATTAAAAAATTAGTATTATTTTAACATTTTGTATTGATTCTCAAATTATAATTATAATAATTATTATAGGTTCTTTTTGAACCACACTATAATAATAATAATAATAATAATAATAATAATAATAATAATAATAATAATAATAATAATAATAATAATAATAATAATAATAATAATAATAATAATAATAATAATAATAATAATAATAATAATAATAATAATAATAATAATAATAATAATAATAATAATAATAATAATAATAATAATAATAATAATAATTTATTGCCCAACAGAATACAGAAAATTCCAATTACAGGACAAATTAAATGAGTAACACTTAATAAAAATGCCTAATAAAAAAAATATAATAAAATATGAGAGAACAAAAAAAAATAAAAATAAAAAAACTACTTAATAACTACTAACAAAAAAATAAAGAAATAGGGTGTGAGAATAAATTGTAAAAATCAAGGGGTCGGTCATTGGATTTTATATTAACATATATTACTTCTAACAAATTAGATTTTTAAGTAAAATAAAATATTATATTTCTTACATTAATATATAAAAATAATTATATATGCATTGTTTATGATCTTATAGTATATTCGGTGACAAGTTTGGTATACGGCATATTCCGCTAGAGTGCCTTCGGCTCGTTTGACGGTTTCACGAGACCGGATTATGCAATTCCAAATGTGTTTCACACTATACTTTTTCTATGTTCCCAAAAAATACCATAGAAAAATAATTTAATTGGGTTGGTCGAAATGCAGATTGAATCGGTCTAAAAGTTGTTAGATAATAAACACAAAGATGTCGCCACCAGTGTTTATTCCTTAACAATATAAGTAATTACATATTAAAAAGTGATATTAGAACGGTTATATTTCGTGATAGGAGTAGAACAAATATATCAATTATAAAAGACAATTTTAAATAGGTCATAAGTACATGATTTAATTTATTAAAAAAAAAAATTAAAAATTACAAACAAACTTTTGTTGAAAAAGGACAACTCTGATGATATGTTAAACAAATATTGTTGTACTGTTTTGTTTTGTTTTGATGTTGGGAAATATTTATAATATTTGTTTAAACTTTAGTTATAATAATAATAAATTCTACATTTAGAAGTTTATATTGAAATAAATTTCGTAAAAATCGCTTATTAATACTTTTCCTATATAATCTTTTTTATATATTATTATCTATTTTGAGAATAAAAATCTTATTTTTAAACTCTACATCGATTAACTTATTAAAATGCAGTTTAACTTTTATACAGCTCAATGGTTTGTGATAGGATTTTAAAATGCTTTTATGAAATATAGCCTGCAAATTAAATAAAAATTCCAAACTAAATTTTTACTTTGTCGTAAGTTTAATCGCACTTTGGAATAAACTTTTTAAAATTAGTATTGATGTACAGAGCAATAATAAGTTTGTTATACTAACAATATGCAAATGTTTTTTCGTTAAACTTTTTATTTTGTTTTTTTTTATATTTTTTAAAGTAAATTAGGCATCTAAATTGTGACACTGAAAAGTATGTAATATACAGTTTCATTTTGATTGGCGATAATAATAAAAACATTCCGATTATAAAAAACGTTTTTAGCTTGTAACTTTTGTTTATTTCATTAGAGTTTTTCTTACGATTAAATCCATTTAAGACATCAATTTAGCAAATTAACAGAAATAAAATCTAATTTCATTTCCGCACCACTTCCCAAAATTACTTTCAATCTTACGATAAGGCATTTGAGTTTTTGCCTACTAAATTTTCTAGCAACCCACACCATTACTAGTAATGGTATGGGTAGCTGGAATATTAATATACTGTTATTGTTTTCCGGAAAGCCTGAGAATTTCAAACAGGAAAGTTAAGGATTTTTTTTGTCTTTCTCAGTGAGAAAGACAAAAAAAATCCTTAACTTTCCTGTTTCCACTCTTAAGTAAATATGTATATATACAGTGTGACTCATTTGTTTGTAAAATCTTTATTTATTTTACAATTTTAACGTGTTTTAAAGTGTAGTTCTTGATAAACTGTATTTTTGGAGCAAAAAACACCATATTTTTACAAAGTTCATGGCCTACTATGTCAGTTTTTTAAGAATTTATATTAGCGATTTTGTAGCTTAATTAAAATTAAAAATTTATTCTTTTAAGTTATCCATGAGAAAAAGATTAAAATAAAATTAAACTAATAGTAACATGGTATAAATTTTCTTATGCTTAGTTTTAACAAATAAAATACGAAATGGAAATTTAAAACAACAATAAAACGAAAACTAGAGAATTCAAAAAATTCTCTACAATTAGATTTTCGCCACCTCTACTAATCTATCATTTATTTCAATACACTTTCGCGCATGCGCATTGCCCTAGCCCGTATGTATATATACCCTAGCCCGTATATTATTATTAACTTTAGGTATAGGGAATGGTTATACCAATCAAAAGATAATTTAATAACAAATTTAATTATGCAAAAACATACATAGTGTTCCATTAAAATAAGAAAGTTATTAACGTTTGAAGTTTGCCAAATTCACCCTAATTTTTATTTAGTAATTGGTTAGAAATTTTACAAAGTTTGATAAAGGATATTTAAAACAATGATTCAAGATTCCAAAAATCCAAACCGCATACCAATAGACCTAATAACAAATAAGTTATAGGCTATTTTTGTTGAAGGCGCAACTGTCAAATTTTTACGAAAAAAAATTAATATATCGAAAACTATTGAGTTTAGGTTTAGGGAATGTTTTAAAAATTTTATTAGGAATTACATATGAAATTAAAAAATCAAAAAATATGCAGGGTGTCCTATTTGAAATAACAAAGTTGATGTCACTTCCGGTAAAACCGGAAATGGAATGTTGTTCAAAATATTTTTCCATGGAAAATAGATTTAGTCGGATCATATCGATATCTTTAATAGCAAACAAATTATGGATCCATTACGGAGCTCTGGGTCACCCTGTATAAGTATATGATATGATATGAGTTATTTCTATATTTTTTCCATTTGCCAAAATTTTAAGAATTTTGAACAAGCAACAGCACAGTGTAACACAACAACAATGCATTCTCTCTTGATTGGCCGGACGCAACAATCTGAACAGAGAAGGTGAAAGTTGAATTTTTTTATTGACCACAAGGTTGTATCAATTTTTTTTCTTAAATTATTTTACAACAAATTTATTGTTTTTATCTTCTTAGTAGCACATAGAGTATTAAATTAAATATTATTTAAAATTATTTATCCTTTTTACTCACAACCCTATAGCAAACATCGAAAACATTACTTTTTCTACTGCTATTACGGAATATTCCCAATCTAACATCACTTTTTAATGTGGAATTACATATATTTTCCTTAAACTCTTACATAATGATTTATTCTCGGTTGACGGAATAAACACTTTTGGCGCCATCTCTGTGTTTATTACAATACAATAACAACTTTTAGACCAATCTAACCTCACGTTCTCCCAATTAAATTTTTTCTATGGTATTTTTTGGAAAAAATAAAAGTTGATAGATAATAAACAATATGCAATATGCAATTCCAAATTTGGAATTGCATATTCCGCTCTCGTGAAACCCTCAAACTCGCCTTCGGCTCGAAAAAATTAACAATTTGCTTGCTGATTCGAAAAAATAACATTTTTGGATATCTTCCAGATTATTTATTTAAACCAAATGGATCTACATGTTTTTAAAATTAAATGTTCTATTATAATTAAGAAAAAATTATTGTGCATTTTGATGAAATATTAAGTTTTTGCATTTAAATCGATTCTGCGTCGAGTACGCCCGCCAATGCTTCTTCAAGTACAATTAAACCAACGCCAAAAAATTAAATTTTATAAATTTTTGATGATAGAATTGGGGGAACCGTAAAAAGGTTGGTTCGAAAAGCTAGTCTTTAAAAACCCAAAAAAATGAAATTTTAAATGAATTGGGGGAACCGTAAAAAGGTTTGTTCGAAAAGCTAGTCTTTAAAAACCCAAAAAAATGAAATTTTAAATGTGAAAGATATGTTTAAATTTTAAAAATCAAATTGATTCTGATAATGAATATTTTTGGAATCGTTTTCAATTTGCACTACCAACAAACGTACAAGAAACCATTATGTAATAGCTATTTGTGTATTAAGAGCGCAAAGTGACAAATTGTCGCTCTGAGCGAGAAGTTTGACGTGTGACGGTTAGCGCTAGAGCGGCAATGTCACTTTGCGCTCGAATTACACAAAGGATTTTTTTCTACAACCGGTGGTTTTATAAAAATGTTTGGTAATAATTAATAATTATTGATAACCTCAAATTTCACTTTTGTGTAAAAATCCGCAGTGTAGACTAGACGTTATTATGGTTTCGCGAGCGTTTAAGCGAGCGTTTTGGTTGGTTTGTCGCTCGGCGCTCGATTGTTGTGTTAAGAGTTGTAAGTACGAAGGATCAATGTTAAAAAATAAAATTTCCAATTTTATACCCTATGTTCTTCTAAAAAGATATAATTTTTTTTGAACAATAATTTTGTAGAAAAATAACTTTACAAAAAATTGATACGGCCATTATGGTCAATAAAAAAATTTCTTAAAATTATTTGAAAAGGCTTCTTGCTTTCATTAAAGATTGTGGTTTATTTGAAGTCGCTACTTTTATCAGGTGAAAAAATATAATTTGTTTAAAAAAAAGCCTGCAAAAAAGTAAATTCCGAAATTTGAATCCCCTCAAAAACAAACCGTAAAGGGGGGAGGGAAAAATTACGGTTTTGTGCTGATGTATACACCTATAATAGGTGTAGTTTAACGATAATTAAAATATTTTTAAAATTCAGATATTTGCCCTTATTTTATAGATTGATCCTTAAGTTAATATGAAAACACGTTATTAACAGTAAATACATTATTATTTTTATTAAGCTAGAATTATTTAAAAAATAAAATCCCATCGTAAATCAATGATATTTGTTTACAAACAACGAAAAAATTGGTACTTCGTGTAATCACACGATTGTTTTTGTAATCGAGCAACACTGAAAATTTACCAATTAAAAACTGCATACAAAATATTTTGATTAATTTTACTTACTTAATTTCCTATACAATAAGGGTAGTCAATTCCAGAATTGTATTTCATTATATTTAATTTTTATTATATTAAATAAACGTTATATGCAGTTAAAGCAAAGGAGAAATAGATGAATTAAATGTCAATACATACAATTAAATGTTATGTTATGTTTATATTTGATTTTACAGTGCAATTAAAATTTAAATATAATTGTTCATTTCGACTAACAAGCTAATTAATTTGGATTCGTTTGATAGATTGATAGATTTAACGGTTTAAAGTCAACAAAAAACTCGATCACTTTGAAATTGAAAAGCTCTTTTATGGTTTTTTATTAAAAATTTAGAATTTGTTAAATATGAACTGAGTTGAAATATAAAGTACCGCAAACAATTACTAAGGCACAATTAAGTTAACACTAAAAATAAAAAAATTATTTATTATAAATGTTATTTAAAAACCCAGAGGATACAAAGAAAAAAAATGACAAAATCCGAATAAACTCAAAACAAAAAAATATAAATATGCCACCAAAAATATTTGACTAATTAATAACCGAAATCCCCTAACAATGCTTTTTCATTTTGTTTCAGGAATGACAGCAGAATTAAAAGCAAAAATGACGAAAAGAACAAAAAGCGCATCGATATCAAAGAAAAAGAAGCGGCAGGACTCGCATGAGCAATCAATTACGCAAAGTTCCTTCGCCCTGCCGCGTGACAGATTGTGGCAGGGTAACGAGGACATAAAAGATGCTGCCAACGGAACGGATCGAATTACGGCGATCGAAAACGTTTCAATGATTTCGACCGGCACCAACCCACATCACGAACAGGTATGTCTTTGTTTGATTAGACATACGTACCAAAAAGTTGGGACTGATGTTTGTCTTTTTGATTAATGCCAGTAATTTTTTACCCATAGAGGTCATCCATATACTACATCAGCACGTTTTTAAACATTTTGGAAAATAAAAACTGCATACAAAATATTTTGATCAATTTTACTTACATAATTTCCTGTACAATAAGGGTAGTCAATTCCGGAATTGTAATTTTCATTATATTAAATAAAAGGAATACGACAGGGGAGCGTAATGGGGCTGCTATTATTTATAGTTTCATAAATGATTTTAATCTAAGTCTCAATCAATCTAGCTTTTTAACTTCCTTTGCAGATGACGCAAATTTAATAATTAAATCTAATAATATCGAAAATATTGTTGTAAATGTGTCCAACATATTTAATTTAGTTAAAAAATATATGGTAGAAAATAAATTAATCTTAAATGATAATAAAACCAGTATTATATTATTTAAAACAAATACTAAATTAACGGCTCAACCAGTGGTAATCAATGACATAACGCTGGAGTACTCCAAAAACAATAAAGTTTTAGGTTTATATATAGATGACCATCTAAACTGGTGTTCTCATATAGAATACATGATCACAAACCTTAATAAAGTATATATATATGCTACACAATGTTTGTGTTGAGGAGTTACGTTGACCAAAGAACTTTAAAAACCATATATTTTGCCAATTTTCAAAGTATTTTAAAATACGGTATTATTTTTTGGGAAAAATGGCGGGTAATATTTGGTTTAAAATATATGGAATCCTGTAGACTACATCAGCACGTTTTTAAACATTTTGGAACCCCTCCCCCTATTATCAAACGTCATTGTCATGTTGTTTTTTACATTTTCACATGATTAGATTAAAATCTAAATTTGTTTTTTTTTTAATCCAGCTGATATTTTTTTATTAGAGAAGAATGATAACGTGATCATATTAATTTGCCCCAACCCCTTCTCATCATCAACTGTCTAAAAATGAATTAGTCAAAAATGACTAATTTAATAGTTATTAGTGGCTGATTTTTCACTTGTAACATGGTTAACCATGGAATAGCATGGTATCCCAAAATTTAACAGCCAATTCTTATGTAAAATTGTCCCCTGAATCAAAATACCTCAAAAACTGCTTCACTTTCATAATTTTATACGGTATTTTCGGATTCAGGGGACAATTTACATAAGAATTGGCTGTTAAATTTTGGTATACCATGGTATTCCATGGTTAACCATGGTAAAAGTGAAAAAGCAGCCACTAATAACTATTAAATTAGTCATTTTTAACTAATTAATTTTTAGAGAGAACCATTATCATTCGCAAGATCCATTTTGAGAATAGGCTTCACAAAATAATATTTTTTATCCATTAAAAAAGGATGTAAAAAAAATTTACATTTTTACATTAAAACGTGTTTATGAAATAAATGAGTTTTATTAAAACAAACATTTTTAATGACAACTGTTAATATAATTTCTATTAAAAAAACGTACACGTAAATGTAAATTTTCAACAAAATAAACAAATTAATATTTTATTTTATTTGTTTTAAACTTGATCGTGACAATGTAATTTAATTTTTAATTGAATTTAAACATTTTCAGTGATAATTTAATGAATTAATAAAACAGTTGTATAAAATAAATATTAAGTTTAAATACAAATTTAAGTTTATTGTTTAAGAGTTTACAAATATGTTAAATCTTCCTTTAAATTAAAGTACCTTTGCATATGTTTATCATACTTTTCTTAAATAAAAGTATTTGCGACTAAGCTAAGAATAATAAATAAAACAGATGCAGTATATTCATAATATACTGCATCTGTTTTTTTTTTAATACTGTTAGGCACTATCATTAACAACTCTCATCCTATAAAACTTTTCAAGAAATTCTTAAAAAAAAAACGATCAAATGGCCAATTCTGTGGTGATACTTCACTTTTGCATTTTACTTCAATAATAATGATAATGATATAGAAGTAAGATTCATTTTAGTTAAATAATTAAGACGTAGGCAATTAGGCATTTTGTAGATACTGTCATAAAAAAGTACAAATCTAACTGTTCTAAAAGAAAACAATGATGCCTTTTTGAAGAAGTGTTAGTTTTTTTACCCATTTTCTTGTTTGAATAACTTTTCGGAATATCTGAATACCTGAATATTGTAATATAATATACAAAAATATATGGGGTATTCCATTCCAAATCGATCGGTCGATTTGGTCACTTTTGAACCCGACTCCTTTCGATCTGGCCAAAAGTTTTCCATTATTTTCTACCCTTTGAAAAACATTTTTGAAAATTATTTCAAATTTTTTTATCCAACCCAAAAAAGTTTTGAATTAAAAAAAAAATAGGTTTTTATTTTCAAATAGCCATAACTCTTTTAAAAATTGACCTTTTGGTATCTTTTTTTTTTAAATTTTTGTTTTTAAATGAATTTTTCGAAAAAATAGACAAAAAAAATTTAACATGATCAAGTCTATGAAATTATCGCTTTCTTTTTGATAAGATCGTTATTTTTGAAAAGTTCGCCACTTTTTATTTTTTATTTTTTTTCTAAAAAAAAAACTTCAATTAATGTTACAATTATTCCTGCCAATCCCAGAGTGTGCCGATTTTTTTTCTAATTTTTTAATGAATTGAAAAAAAATTGTCTAATTTTCAAAAATGAAATTTTTGTTTTTTTTTCACAAACTTTATTTATATAATAAAATAAACGCAATTCAATGATTTTAAGGTATCATATTCGCAATTTATAGGATTAAGCTACGACTGTAATGACTAAGATCAGGGGCGTAGCTACCGCGGTATCAGCCGTATCAATGATACGGGGCCCCCGGCTAGGGAGGCCTCCGATTGGCTTCGCCATGCGTGGGCAAAAAAACATATTACCCACATGTTAAAAAAATTGAGGCATGAAATTAGATAAATAAATAAATAAATAATATTATTATTTATATATTTATACTTCGATTTATTAAATTAAAATTTTCCTGAATACCCTCCTGTTACAACAAGGCCGTGAACGAATTGTTTCTGCCCGCACCTTTCCGCTATGCGTTGTCCGCGGCGCAGTCTGCGTATATTGTTCTGTGCTCTGCTTTGCGTGTTAATATCATAGGTTATATTAATAGCAAATTAAAAATAATTATTAACTTTGCAATTATTTCAAATGACTTGCCTTTATTTTAAAATATAAACCTTTTAAAAGATGTTGAAGAACGGTAAATATCTAAAACCAGACCAAATTTTAAAATTTGCCTGTACATATGCATACGTATATTATTATAAAAAATGCAAAAAAAAATTTTTGTTTGCCCAAAATAGGCTTTGGGCGTGACACCCAGAAATTTTTTTGCCAGCAGCTTTTTCCGTATAAGAGCCCCTACCAGATTTTTGATACGTTTTTTAAATCTGCTTCCACCAGGCACAGGCCCAATTACAGAAATAAACAATCGTACAAACACAAATAAACAGCCATCCCCTGGTGGGATTTGAACCCACGACCAAAGAATATCTTTGCCCACGACCTCTCAGCTTGTAGTCCGCAGCAAATTAAATTAAATTGTTTATTTACAAAATATTGAGTCAATAAGTAGAACATACGTGTCTAGCACTGCATGATATTTCACAGGATTGTTGAGTTTGTAGAGTTGGATTATTCGTCATCAGTCCCCAACTCCTCAATATACCACTGAAAAGTTTCCTTGTTTAAATTCTGGCAAGCAGCTTATACGTTGTCCCAGTCACGCAGCTCCTAAGGTATTCCAAACTTATTACAGAATACACTATTATTAATGATCGTTGACAAAGTACACGTTTTTTGTATATAAAAATTATCAAATATAATATTATGTTTCCCTAGGAACAGGGTTCCATGCAGATAACATTTATACTAGGCTTAGACAATGTCTAATAGACATAGTCCATTTTAAAAACTCAATCTCAAACAATCTCCCTCGCAATTGCGAAGTTAATTTAAACTAAGTAGAACATACTTTCTAAAAATGAAATAGTCAAAATTATACTATTTGAATTAGTACCAGCATTTTTTACTAATAAAATAGTCGTTTTCACTTTTAAATAGTTATTTTTTAATACGTAAATAGTTAAAGTTTGACTAATTTAAGATAAGTCACCATCTTTGACTATTTCTGAGAGTTAAAAGTAACTAATTTCTTTAATCGTTTGGGGCCAACAACAAAGTATTATTTGAATTAAATGCATATACCTAAGCTCCATGGTTAAAGGACCCATAAAAACAAATAAGGATGCAAAAAGTTTAGCTCACAACAGCAACACAAATAATATATTCAACTTTAAAATATTATGAACAATATTAATTGAAAAATAAAATTGATTTTTATGACAACAGCTTGACAAACTTGACAAGTGACAGACCTGAGTTCAATCCCCGGCTGGGTCAAAACTTTTTTAAATTTGACTATTTTATTTAGTAGAATTTACTAATTTACTAATTATTAGTGACTGCTTTTTCGCTATGGCAATTAGTCAAATATGACTTATAATTAGTTATTTTAGACTAATTCATTTTAAGAGAGTACGTGTCTAGCGCTGCATGATATTCCGCAAGATTGTAAAGTTTGTTGAGTTGGATTATAGATACCACTGCAAAGTTTCCTTTGTCAAATTCTGGCAAGCTATACGTTGTACCAGCCACGCATCACGAGTGACGCATCTCCAAAAAATATGTCTGTAATCTAATTAGAATACTTTTATGCTTCCATAACTTTAGTTTTCATTTCACAATTGAAGGAGCCAATGCAAGAAGTCACAAAAAGGTGATTCTGAGATATTAAGGTTTGAAGGTTTATTTTTTATTATGAAATATTACACACAATATTATGATAACAAAGTGGGTTGTATTGTATTCTTTCTAGAAAATGGATTGGACTTCCCTGATTAAAAAAGAAATTATATTAAGGAGAAATTTGTCTATACTTAAAAAAAAG